ATGATAAAGACAAGTTTATAAAAAGTAAAAAGAAAATAAAATTCAATCAATTACCTCCATCTTACTTTTCCTTCGTGCAAATCCAATGACAACGACGTCATGTTGTACAAGAGCTTTTGCTATTGCTAATCCAATTCCACAGGATGCACCAGTAACTATAGCTACTTTACCAGACCACCGTTCCATGGTTTGTAAATTTCAATTTTGTTAAGCAGTAAGAGAAAAATGAATGCAGAAGTTAAAGAACGTGTTTTCTCGTTGAAATTACGTCCTAAACTGGTCGCTTAAAACTGTTTACTCGTTTAGCAATTAGTCGTGTAACCTTGAATTATCTTTGCTACATATAAAAATCGTTGATTGTACAATCATGGAAATATTGCACACAGATAAAGAAATGATATAACAGGAAAATTAGATTTCTTTTATTCCTAATTGTTATTCGTATGTATGTAGGAATTTTTGGTTTGAGTCAGAGGTGCAAGATTAACATACAGCCAGTTTAATCCTACTGATAAAATATATTTAAAATAGGTTTTAGAAAAAGTACAATAGTTACTTCACAATCTTAAAATAACAACTGAGATAAACAACTGCACTTTTACGACTGATAACGACTGATGACGACTTGCGACCGATGATGACTTCTACTACAACTGTGACTGTTACTACGACTGATCATTAACTACTTCTAACTGTTAAAACTGACTACTACTAAATAATCTTCGCCTCAATCCCCGTCCCTTTATATTCATCCGCATCTTGCTCTAATTTATCAAACGTCAGATTCAATGGAATATTAAATCATCAATATCGCTCGAGAACCTTTAAGCTCACACAAACTTATCACTTGCAAAGAACAGACCACACACCGTCTTTCTTCATGTCGACTATCGTTTTCTTTACTCTTTATTCTTTCGTCGTCTACTCGCTTATCTATGTTTATTCTTCTACACCCAAAAATCGATCTTTAAACATTATTAATTAATAAGAAACAAACAGTTTTTTATTACGTATCGTATAATTACGATCTCATATTAGATTTGTTTATCACTATTAGGTTTCTAATTATTTAATATAAGGAAAAGATTTACTGTTTTTAAAGAGGATTATTTTAAAGCGTTGCTACTTATAAACTGAAACCGGTTATCCACTGAAATTGGACGTACATCGCATATTTTACATTACGCCTTTTTGTCTTTCAATCTTTTAAAATTGTCACTATATATATGAGTGAAAAAGATATCTACCTAAAACATTGTATTTTTAGCTTATTTCAGAAAGGGAATTAAGCAATGAAGGCAACAAAAAACTCGTGTGACATGTTTTATGAGGACGCAGTATTAGCTTAAAAATACCAACGATAATTTGTGATATTCTTTTTAAGGTAATTTTTCTTTGAAAGATGAATCCTGATCAAAAAGGTTACCAAGTATTTATAACGAAATGCTACTCAGTATGATCGAAACAAATTCTACATTAACTTCTACAAAAGTGGGCTTCAAAGTAGAAATTGGTTTCGTACCCAAACGCTCTGTTTGAATGAGATACAAATTTTTTCATTAGAAAAAAATCAACAGAATTTTGTAATAAATTTGTTAAAAAATAACGAGATCAAAGTTAAATACAAATAAAAATCGTTTATGTTGCATATTTTAGGGATAAAGTGAGGATAGGTAACCAAATGTCAGAAGATTTTAATATCCATAGCGGCTTAAAACAAGGGGACGCATTGTCATCCCTTTTGTTCAATTTAGTACTGGAATTCGCTGACAAAGATCTGCAGTAAAGTAAAGATGGTCTATAGTTGAACGGAACAACACAATTGTTGTCATACGCGGACGATATTGCTTTTTTAGGGGACAATGAAGAGTCATTAATTAAAAACGCAAAAATATTAATAGATAATACTAAAGATGTGGGACTGCAAATAAGCGCGGAAAAAACAAAATATATGGTAACTGATAGAGTTCAGAATAGGCCTTGTACTGGAACTTTGGTCGTCCGGGACAAAACTTTTGAGCGGGTCAGCAACTTTAGGTATTTAGGATCCATCATAAACCAGACGAACGAAATTAACGAAGAATTTAAGAAAAGAATAAATCTAGGCAATTCATGTTTTTATTCGGTTAACAAATTACTCAGCTCGCGGTTGCTGTCTAGGCGATTAAAAAAATCAGGATATACAGGACCATCATCCTGCCGGTAGTCCTTTATGGTAGCGAATCGTGGTCGCTTACGTTACAGGAAGAAAAGAAATTTAGGGTTTTCGAAAACAAAGTTCTTCGTAAAATCTTCGGTGCAAAACGCGATGAGGAAACGGGTGAATGGAGAAAACTCCATAACGTTGAAGTACATCTATTGTACAACAAACCGGACATTATCAACGTCGTAAAATCACGCCGATTAAGATGGGATCGTCACGTAGCGCGCATGGGGGAGGATCGAACTGCGCACAAAAGAATAGTCGGTATACCAAACAGGAAAAGACCACTAGATAGACCGAGGCGTACCGCGGTATTCATAGTCCGCTCTTATACTGAAGTCGGCCTTAAACATGGTTTTAAGCAAGCGTTTACATTCATAGACGCAATCTTAAGATATGCTTAAAAGTTTGATCTTAGCCAAGATGTGCAATTGGATAGATATTCATAGTCATCGCTTAAGACGATCTTAAGAATTACAAACAGTTAATGTATTCATAGTCAAATAAGATCATCTTAATAACCTTACTTTTTACTCAAAACGAGAGTTTTTTTCAAGTCAACATTTTAGTAGACTTAAGACCATCTCAGTTAACACTGAGGTTAGGATAATTATTTGATAATAATAAATAATAATCAAAAATTAATAAATAATAATTCAAAAATAAGGTTTAAGTGATAGTTTAAAGTTAATCAATTAATTATAATTTAAATTTATTCAAATCAATGTCAATTAAAAATTAATAAATTTGAGAAAATTGTGAAAACAAGTAAAGAATGGATTTTTTGGAATTACATAATATCAATGTTGATGATAATATTGATATTGGCTCAGATAATGAAGACATAATTATACGTGCTCCAAAACGCTATATTCGAAATATACAAAATCCTTTTAATTTTTATTCAGATGTTGAATTTAAAAAGCGATACAGATTTGACGTGGATTACCTATTCCACCTGTATTTCAATTGCTAATATGTTTGCGATTTTATGCAACTGCTAGCTTTCAGGTAAACATCAGTTATGATTATTATACATTTTTATTGTTAATGATGGATTTTTATTACTTCTCAGAAATTTATATATATTTTTCAATTTTCAGTAAATATATTTTTCAATGAAAATAAAAAAATTGTTTTTCCAGCTCATCCTTGGTGATACTATGACAATTTCCCAACCAACAATATCTAGAATAGTTTTTCACGTAAGTGTTTTACTTGCAAGCTTGTTTAATGATTACATAAAAATGCCACAAACTCAAGAAGATATATTAGAAAATCAGAGGCTTTTTAAAAACCTAGGATTTGGTAAGGGAGCTATTGGAATACCTGGTGTTGATGGAGCAATTGATTGTACTCATATGCGATTAGTTCATACAAGATTTCACAATGTCGATGAAATATACAGAAATCGGAAAGGTTATTTTTCTCTCAATGTACAGGTTCATATGAAATTTTTTTTTCACCATTAAATCCTTAAGATAGATGAATTCAAAAATTTTTAATTAAAAAATATCTTATAAACAGTTGTTGGTCCATGAATGGAATTTTTAGATATTGTGCCAGAATGGCCTGGTAATGCTCATGATAGTAGAATTTTTCAAAATTCCCGAATTTACATGAGATATTTAGAACATCAACTAAATGGAATATTAGTTGGTGATGCTGGATATCCATGTCTACCGTTCTTAATGACACCAATCAATAACCCAGTAACGGACGAAGAAATCACGTCAGTAATTTATAGATTTAATTTATTATAATAATATTAATATATAATAATATAATATTAATTATAATATAATATATAATATAATAATAATATAATATAATATTAATAATAAATATATTTAAATATGTCTATTAAATTTGATTTTTATATGTTTTTATGAAAAATATCCAAAGAGTGGTACTGACCAATGCATATATGAAAATTATATTATAAATTATGATATTTGCGTATTTAAGAAACTTATAGTAATTTTTCAATAAAATAAAAACATTTTTAAGATGTTGAACGCCCAGCGTGAATCGGTGGAGCTTACCACGGAGCTGAAATCTGAGATCTGAGGAAATAGCCGAACTGAGAAGACAATGCCTCAGATACAGACGTCTGTACCAAAGATCCAGGAACAGACAGGAGGCCAGGCAGAGATACGCAGAGTATCAGCTCGCGCGAAAGAAGATGCGCAACGCGATCAAAGCAAGCAAGAAGCAGTGTTGGAGCATCCTATGCCAGGAGGTAAACAACGACCCTTATGGCAGGGCATTCCAAATCGTGATGGGCAGGCTCGGGAAGCTTGCACCTACCACGAACAGGGACGCTGTAAATATGAAGTTCATTGTAGATACGTTATTCCCGACGCACCCAGAAATCAGGGAGCAAGCAGACAGGATGCTCACTGGGCCAGTCCCTCTCTTCATGGGACGGGAATTGGAGACAGCAGCAAAATCGATGAAGAACGGAAAAGCTCCCGGACCAGATGGTATACCAGCAGAAGTCATCAAGACTGTTGCGATAAGACACCCGCAACTACTTTTGAATTTGTATAATTCATGCCTGCGAATGGGAGTGTTCCCAGCCCCATGGAAAATCGCACGACTGGTTCTGATCGATAAGGGAGCCAAACTCCCCATCATCATTCAGACCATTATGTATGCTGGACACAGCAGGAAAGCTTTATGAAAAGTTGCTGAAGAACCGCCTTCTAAAAGCATTACAGGATGGGGGAGACCTCTCCGATAGACAGTACGGATTTCGGAAGGGGAGATCGACGATAGGAGCAGTGGAGAAAGTGGTGGAGGCAGTTCTTGGCACCAAAAACGTATGCCACGGAGCTAGGCCACTCGTCCTGCTGGTGACCTTGGACGTAAAGAATGTCTTCAACTCAGCCAGATGGAAGGACATACTGCGTGAGCTCGAGCATGCGTTCAAGATACCGGACTATCTCTTACGCATACTAAGAAATTATTTGAAGGACCGCTATCTGACGTACGCAACGTCGGACGGGGAAAGACGTAAGAAGATAACAGCAGGGGCCTTCCAGGGATCAATCCTGGGACCCGATCTTTGGAACGTGGCATACGACAGTCTGCTTCGCGAAGAGCTGCCAGAATGGACGTTCCTGGTCGGGTACGCCGACGACGTAGCCGTAGTTATAGTCGAACGCACTACTTAGCTCATCCAAATGCGACTGAACCAGGTGATGCGCAGAGTGGGGCCATGGATGGAAAGACATGGACTCGAACTCGCGTCTAAGAAAACGGAGAGGATCCTACTGACAAGAAGGGAAATCGACACTATTATCCCTCTAAACGTGCAAGAAAAGGAGATATGGACCAAGGAAGCATTCAAATACCTCGGGATGACGTTAGATAGGAAGCTAACGTACTGGGATCACCTCAGGCAAGCAGCAGACAAGGCTGCAATAAGAGTCAAGGCATTAAGTAGGATCATGCCAAATGTTAGAGGTCCAAAACCTGGAAAACGCAGGTTACTAATGTCAACTGCCCAGTCCATTATACTGTACGGGGCAGAGATATGGGGAGAGGAACTCAAGGTTGAAAGGAAGAGGACGCGGATCGCCCAGATCCAAAGGGTAGGAGCTCTAAGGGTCGCCTGCGCCTATCGCACGGTCTCGGAAGATGCGATAATGGTAATAGCAGGCGCAATACCCATTGACCTATTAGCAAGAGAGAGACGGTTACGACACGTATCACAACAGCGACAAGGACGCACAGAAATCGCAAGAGAAGCCCGCGACAGTACGTAGGAACTCTGGCAACAAAGATGGATGAAGAGCCGCAAAGGAAGACAGCCCGACTTATAAAAAGCGTCAAGGAATGGACGGAGCGACAACACGGAGAGGTGGACTTTTACCTCACCCAATTCCTGTCCAACCATGGCTACTATCGAGCATATCTATATAAGATGGGCAAAACAGGAACGCCAAACTGCAGCTACTGCGGTTTTGAAAAGGACGACGCGGAACACTCGTTCTTCGGCTGCACTCAGTGGCTGGAGGAGAGACGAGAGCTGGAAGTAAGGATCGGAACGTTCAACGCGGACAATGCCGTAGATAGAAAGCTACAAAAGCAGGAAAACTGGACTGCTGTAGCAAACTACGTACACACCGTCCTTCGGAAGAAGAAGGAGGACGGATGCTTAGAAGGTTAATGGGAACCACGTAATGCCCTATAAAGAGCGTAAAGACAACAGACACGATGGATAATAAAGATAGAAGGAAGCTCTAATCGCGGGCTAAGTCTCAATGGCCCCGGCTCGAAGTTTTATGCGAAGGCGGTTCCCGAGCCGGGAGTTCCCCGGAGTAAGGTCTTGCCAGTTTAGTGAGTAGTCAGTCTTCGTCACAGAAGGTCTGCGAGTCCCACACAGAGGAAGGGTTCGTGTGCCCTCCTATCGTGCGTAAATGCATTCTGGACGACCTCGGATAAAAAAAAAAAAATAATAATAATAATAGTAATAATAATAATAATGTCGCATAATTTAATCTTTATTATTATATATATGTGGGGTGCGAGAATGTGAGTGAGAACACTAAAGCATGAGTGGGCCAGAGGGTATCAGGTATAATCAAGCC